ACAGAACGAAAAAATATGCGCTTACAAAATTCAGCGGAGAACGAGACCTTAGCTTAACCCAACCAAGCATCTACTACGGACAATCAAAAGGCTCTACCTAATGAATTTGATGAGGAAGAATGAAAGTAAAAGGAGATGAAGGCTCAATAGGGTTACGTGGAAGCGCCGATCAAGAAATAGGGATTCAGGGATAATTCTCCAATTCACTGTCCACTTGTACATGAACTGTCGACTGAAATCAAAGGCATGAGTGAAGTAGGCCTCAGAATTGCGAAAAAGGAAGATTGCTCCCAAGAGAACCTAAGAAATATAAAAAGCAGTATTGGACTTTAGGGTAGCGTAAGCACAGGTAGTGAACAACAGTGATGTCAATATGATGAACAACTACCTGAATAATACCGCATTCAGCCAGGTGTCCAAGTGTTTCATATACCCCACGATGTTGGAGTAGAACAAGAAAGAAACCAGGCGCAAAAAGTAAAATATTCATCTTAACCCCAACGGCGATGCTACATTTGATAACAAACAATTAACTTAATCATCAGGCAATATTTCGTGAAAATTAAATCACAAAAGCTACCTGAAGAATACGGCTGCACAAGAGAAGTGATTGTAAAGGCACCAGTTTATCGAGGAATAAAGGAAAAACATTGCCCAAGGGTCATTAAACAGTCTCAACAAGTAAATGGAATGCACCCGGTACGAGGTAAAAGATAAAATAAGGATGGGAAGTAAGGGAACCTATAGGACAAAAAGTACGGGCCGCTGAATTACCTTTTGCAGCTTCCAGTAGATATTGTATATTAGAATCATAGTTATTGCATACAGAACGGCAAAGAAACACTGAGCAGCAAATATGTTTCTGCCGTGATCCGTCAAATAATATAGGAGAGAATAGATGTAAATATGCATAGCAGGGTAACTATAACGAGAGGTTAAAAAGGATTGCCCAAATCCTTTACACACAGGGTCCGGTCCGCCCAATTAGCTGGTCATAATCACGAGTTCCATTTAGGAAGTGTTCTGACTGCTGCATGTAGGCGACCCAATCGATTTCGGTATCTACGATAACTTGAAATAATGCAGCCTACACGAAGCATTGCGTAGCACGAGA